GCTGCCGTAACTTTAAACTTATTTCTAACCACCAAAAAAAACATCGAACTAGTCGTCTTCAAGGTCTTTCTGGCCTTTGAATTCCCTGTGTTTGGGTTCCTGAACCCGTTAGTCCACCCTCCCTCTACCCCGCCCAATAATGATCAGCATAGCGTTCCCTATTTTGCGCTTGGCTCTACCGTACTCCAAGAATCTACATATCGGACCACTGTAAAAAGTTCCGGAAGGCTGTCTCGGTCTGTCTGTGTTTCCGAGTCTATCTGACTGTCCGATTGCGCGCTGTTGTTCTTCTACTTTTAGCTGTATTCAATTTCCCGGCCGTGTAGCTTTACGTTTCGTTAATTCGGTCCTTGAAGCTGGCTTTTTGGGTTCCTAAAGGTCCGTTTTAGGCTTCTGTTTAATGTTTTTCCTGTCCCTATTTTCCCGCATTTTAAAGGGACATGCAAGGCTGAATTATGGATTTTTTTATACTGAAAATTCCTTCTGAATTTTGCCGCTGCCCGCACGCGCACGCCGGCGTTTTCATTGCGTAAGTGGTTATCTACCATTAACGCATTTTTCTGAATTTCGGGGCGCAACCGATTACGTCATATAAAGACGAGCGCACGCGTTACGTGTCGCGGTGCGGCGAAAAACCCATTGGTGAATTTATAGCCGGCGAAACATAGCCATACCTTGCCCGTTCCTTTAAATAGGATCAAAATGAGCCGAAAAAGGAACCCAGGGAGTCGTGCTCCCCCAAAACCACTTCACTCCCCCGATTCTCCTAGGTCTATTATCCCTATTAGTCATAATATTTTCGTGCATCTTCTTACTTTTTTACTGTACCTTTACGATGTTCCGTGGATAGTATTTCTCGTTGGTTTCCGTAAAGGGGATGGCCCGAATTCCGGGCCAATCCGCCCGCTTCCGCAACATTTCCGGTCCGCCCCGCGTGCGCATAAAAAAGTCCGATGTTTGCCCCGTCGCCCGATCCCCCGATTCTGTGCATTTTTGCCCCCACCGTGAAGCCGAGTTTGAAAATTGGACTTTTAAAGGGGTCGTGAAGGCTGGAATCTATAAGCAAAATTTCTTGGGGTTGAAAAGCCGTTCGGAAACGCCGAAATCTCGAAAAATAGCAACATTTTAAGCGTTTTAATTCCAGAATTTTGCACTGTTTATGCGTTGCTTTCACAAACCCTTTAAAACCCGATTTACCCATCAAAAAGTCTGGTCGCCGTAAATTATTCCCCTTCCTAAAATTCGCCCGCAATTTGGTGCATGCTAAAAGTATCCCAAATCTTAAGGTATCCCCCTGATTTTAATTTTTCTCCATAAAATCACACACACAGCAGAGAGTCTAGCCCCCTTTCTTGTTCCCTTTTTTATTCTTCTTTGGAGTGAATTCGTTTATTATCCACCGGATTCTGTGATAAAAAATGATTGGCAACCGAGGAGAATACACAAAAAATATAAATACACAAAACCACAGAAAGAAAACTTATTTTTACACCTAAAACCACAAAAAAAAAGATTTTTCAAGCTCAGGAATACGTTATAAATGATTTAAATATGTACCGAAACAGTACAAATTTTGAAAATTGCTCAATATTTCAGGAGACTGTAGAAAAAAGCGCGTAACTTTTTGGGCGGGAAAATATTCGAAATCAAAGTTCCTATTAATGCGCTTATGCTACACAAATACCCTGGGAGTTGCAGTGACCATAGCAAGTACGGTGGAAACGTACGCAGCCGAGAATAGGAATAAAAACAGCCGATCCAGCGTCATGGCAATGTACTTGTAGTCGGCTTGGCACTCCTCTTCCAGCTCGTCCTCCACCAGTTTTTCCTGAAAACGATCGATAAACCAATGTTGGTGCCTGATTGCGGCGGTGCACTAATGATGCCTAGATAAACTACACAGAAAACATTCCAAGAAACATATTTTGAGCCAAAATTACGCTACGTAACACTCAAAAAACTGAGCGAAAGCTGACGGGGAAAGTACTGGTAAAAGAGTATAAAAAAATCATTGAAAATGATAACATCTTCGAAAAAGCGCGAAATTCTAACCTAGCAGAACTATTTTCTGGAGTAATCCTCGACTCTATTAAATTCAGAAACCTTAAAGTCGTGCAGTAACGAAATAACTTCGCGCAGCTCCTGCCTTAGCGGTGTATTCTCATATGCCAACGCCATCAACCGAGGTTGATGCGACATCGTCGAAGCTAAATCTCAGACGCTACCAAAGCAGAATTCGAAAAACTTACATCTCCTCGACTCAGGGCTGTTACGCACGGTTTCCTGCCAATCGTACGTCTCTTCCGGGACCGCAAGGAGGGGCGCTTTCGTCATTGAGAACTGAGAGATAGCTTTATTATACTAACTAGGTAATTTGTCACCTCTCCACTCAAAAAGCTGCCTCCCGGTTCGACCTCTTCTGGTTGGCGTTTGGTATAGCGGCGTAGCTTCGCGAATTTTCTCCCCGGCCGGGTCATCAGGAGAAGCCAGGGAAGCCACTCGAGGAAGAGGGCTCGCATCTGAAACGGCACTATGAGAATTATGGCGAACATTAACTCACCGTTTTGCTCAGCTTATGCGTCCTTGGATTCCGAAAATGTACGTTGATCACGAGAACCGTACATATCGTCGATAGCCCCAATAACAGCAGCGAAGTGGAGAAAAATGCCACTGAATCCCGAATATTACGTTTTTTAATATTCCCTTACCTATCACAGGAATCGATTCAGAAGATGGCGGTATAATCTCGGAGACCATGCCCAGGAAAACGAGCACCGCCAGGAGATTGGTGATTTCTAGAATATATTTTTTTAGTAAAGGCCAGCCTGAAAGGAAACTCGAGATAACTTACGTAACGTCAACTTTTCCCCACATTCCGTTGGCAGCGTAAAGCCCAAAACGTTCGATAGAGAGATCAGCACCGACGGGACTACCCAATTTAGGCCGTAATAGAGAGTTCTGAAATCGATTCATAACGTTAATATTCGTTCAGCTTACCTTCGTTTAATGTGCATCCTAAAGTACAGTTCGACATATTTCTCGCCGTGAAATTCATTGGCAACTCGTTCGGCGGGGGTGGCTGAAAATATAACTCTAGAATTCCCTATGGTATACCAGTGAGCCTTTATAACTATGGAATTAATACAGCCACAACTTCTATTTTTACCTATCAACTCCCATTCCCCGTTGGGCACATAATATCGCAAATCCATTTGGTTCTTCTCGGACAGTCCGCTATTATCAATCCGCAGATCCACTTGGTTTCCGGTGTACGTCCAAGAACCAAACTTAAAATCGAATTCTGCAGGAAAAAATGAGCTGCTTACCTTTAGATAGCAGACCTGGTCGTCAAACGGGAAGTACGTCAGGTCAAAGGTGCAACTAGAAATCGCGAAATCTGAAGCTGGAAAAGGCCCACCTCATTCTGACGATGCTTGGCGGAGCCATTAGGACCTCACCGGTATGCCGAACGGCCATATTTACGGGGAAACTTGCGTCGAAATGCTCGTCGGCGCTTAAATGAACTTTTGGGAACTGGGATCGTACTTCCATTCAAAGGTATCGTCGAGGTTCTGAAATGGAGAACGATCTAGAGACGACTCACGTGTTGAACAACAGCACATCCGGCTTCCAAAGTGACCCCGATGGGACTTGTAACGTCGTAATATTCCCGTATTCGATCGGATCCCATCGCATTTTGTAGTCGTGCCAAGTCTGAAGGTTTTGAAGTTGCAGATACGTGCCCAAGGTATAAATACGAATGATTCTGAGCACGATTAAAAAGCCTAGGGAGGCCCCACCATTTGTGTCCAGATAACCAGCGTGACCACTTGATTTTTCTCGTCAACATCAACGAGCTGCTGGAGGAGGATACGGATCTGGCAGTCGACGGCTTCCCGGTGGTTGGACACTGGTCGTTCGACAGGGTCATGGCTGGAAAAGAAAATCATAGCTTGGCACGGTTGATGCTTATGCTTCGACTTAGACAGGCTTAGATAGCGTAGGCTTTAGGTATCCGTGGTCGGCACTTACCCGACTTTCAGATCCTGAATCAGGCGATACTCGTGGTCGGAAGCTGATAGATAGTGGATACATAGTGCCCAGCAGAAAAACGGGCGCAGCATTTAGCCATTCACCGGATCGTCATCTCACACCTGCGCTAGAATGTAGCTTTTTGAAGTGTCTAGCTTGTCACAAGACCAAAATACCCGAAAAAATGCTAGAAATCGTCAGTTTCAGGTGTTATTGAAATTTTTGAACGGAATATAATATCCTAGAAAGGTAAAATACTCTCAAAACTGAGGACGATTGGCCAGATTTTAGAAAATGCGCTTCAGAAGCGAAGTGCACGAACCCTCTACTCAGAGGTCACGTTCTCTTAATCGGAGAGGAAAGGTGTAAAGTTTTCATTCCGAGCTAATTTTTTCGAAAACGGGTATCTCTTGTCCGTTTTTGAAAGATTGACTTCCGGGAATTCCAGCAGGATCGATTATTCAAAAACGCTTTGGATGAGGTGCGATTAACGTTCCGTTATCTTCTCACAAATACTTCTTTTTGGGACAGCAATGACAAATCCGACTAAATGTACTAATTTAAAGAGCGGATACACGAAACGACATGGACAGTGTCCGCCGAAATGGATGACCAAACAGTGGCCACACAGGTCGATATCATCCCCGCCGACCAGCATGGCTACACCGTGTCCAGCACAGAAAGAATCCGACCAGCGCCCGATGAGCAAACGTTGCAAGAGAAGCCGGGGGGCCGATGCATGCCAACCGGGTGGACAACGATATGAGTGTGTGTCTTTCTATCTTTCTATCTCTCGATACTAATCACTCTCTTGACCTCGCTGACCACTTGAAAAAAAAGAATTGTCGAGAAGCAAGTACGGCTGGATTTTTCGAGACTTCCGGATCCCGATGTAACTTTTTGTTCTGATAAAAACTCCTCCCGATTTTTTTTGTAAGCATTATTTCGTGCATGAAATTCGTTTATTAAGCCTTCCACCAAACATGGCACACCGCAATAAATATCACAAGGGAATTGAGGAGATTTTTCATGGTCGCCGAGCACTCCAAGCGTGGCGTCAGCTGGCCGCCGTCTTTCCACCGGGACCCGACGTAGACGAGGCGACAGCTAAAAAGAAAGGATTTTTCTGATACTAATACCATGCTAACTCTATATCGACTATGAATAATATTTGAAGAAGGAAGGTAACCCTATTTCGATTAGAGCTTACAATTTTACGTTTACGTACATTTTTTATTGACATTTGAGTTTCCGTACGGGACCAAGGCTTCTAGTGCAGAATTTTTCACTGGGCCCGAAAACGTTTTCAAAAATTGCGGAACAATCAGATGAAAAAAGTAATGAAGCTTTTCAGGACGGAAAAGGCAAAAATTTGCTGAGATTAGACCATTTTTGGCCTTGCTCTCACTTATAACCTTCATAACTTTTTGAATCTGATCGTTTCGCCAATTTTGAAAACAGGCTTCGAAATCAGCGCAAAATTCTGCACAAGGTAGGCTTTTGTGCCATACGGAAACACGGATGTCAATAAAAAACGTTATTCTTTTGTTTTGGTCTTTTCCTTGTTAGATAGTAGAGGTCTTAAATCTAGTGTTAGACGGGAGGCCGGTTGACGGAAGACATTAATCAAAGATAAATAACTCTATTACTTCCAAATACCCACCCTTGCCGCACATTTGGCGAGGGCTTCGCCGTGGCGGTGATCCGTGGCCGTCCCTTCCGCTTTTTCGCCGGCTTGCCCACGCTTGTGATATGGGTGGTGGTGATGTCCGACGACAGCGTAGTCCCCGGAATTTGTGACGTCACTGTTGTTGTCACGTCAAGGTCGATTTTCACACCTAAAGGCTCGGTTCGTATAAAAAGCTTTGCTCACGATTGTCATCGTCTGAAGGGACGTCGCCCAATCCTTGGTCGGGTTGATGCGTGATTGGTGGGGTAGCGGTTGTCTGAAATCATTTTATTATTTTTTATTAATTATTTGAGGCTTTTAGAATTGTATAATAGTTATAGAAAAAAGAATTCCTAAAAAATAAACTTTTTGGACTTACTAGAAGCTTCTTCTTCGGTTTCAATGCCGGCGCGGGGACCACCAGGTCCAAATCGTGCGGATCACAAGTGGTTTGATCTTAAGCGTCGTGTTTAAAAAATTGAAGTATAGAACATAATATGGTGTTAATAACATTTCTCTATTAAGGCGCAAAAACGTACCTGGCGCCACAAAGCAACAGCATACCGAATGCCCTCTATGCTCATAGCATCTATCGCCGTCTTTTTCGGAATGGATCAACAGACAGTAGCGGTACTGCTCATCATTCAAATGCCTACAAAATTATTAATTTTATTGGGAAACCCTACGCACCTATAGACGCACACTTGCTCGCCCTCCTCGAAACCATCTTCGTATTCTTTTTCTATCGAGACGTAGGGCTCTGGGTCGGAGGTACGGGGCCCTTAAAACATCATTAAATCTCGAATAAATAATAAATTTTCGCCTGACCAACTCTCTTAAAAAAATTCAAACCTGGTCCTCCACTCCGCAACAGTACTATTTCCTTCTTTGTCGTGGCCCCATCGCCAGTTTCCGAGGGTACGTCTTCGTACTCGATGACGTCCATCCCTTTTAGATAGGTATCTAAAAATTCGGATTTTTTGTGAAAACTTGAAAATTAAGACCCACCCTCATCATCTCCAAAAGAAAATTCGACAGCTTTAATTTGATCCTCGTACTCGTCACTCGATTGGGCGGCCCTTAAAATCATAAAATTAAAATTCTTGCCGTATTCATGCCGTAATTTCCGATTTGATTTTCCTGGTTTCGATTTTCCCTGACGGTCCGGCGTGATCTAAAAAGAAAAAATGCAACTACGTATAATTGACTACGAAACAGCTGAGTTTGTAATTTTAGGCCCACCATTAAATCGTCCTCATCAACCTCGTACTCCTCAATATACTCGCCCTCCTCTTCTTCCTCTTGGTTTGGGGCTCCTTTTGGTGGGGTACGGCCTAGAAATTCATAACTTTTCGGTCAAGCGCCCTTACCATCAACTTTCGCAGGTCTTCCTTCAAATTCGGACTTTCTACCGTAGCGAGAGTGTATTAAGCATCCAATGGCTCCAGCTCCACACTGTTCTTGTCCACATCGAAGTGGTGGAGCTGCGATGGAAGCTAAAAAAGGCCCTGTTTTCTTCGCTTGACTGACTTACGTAGCACATCACGACCGGAAGTGACCAGTCGATTTAGAGTAGAGTGGTAGAGGGCACAGCAAAACCTGAAATAGGCATGATAATGGCCTCACGATGTATTGACTTACTTTACTGTTGGTTTGGCGATCTGCTTCAGCTTGATATTGTGGGCCACAATGATGTATTTTAAAAAATTCGTGTTCAAGGCGCGGAGATGGAGGACTGAACATCGGGGTACGGCTCCGCAGAGATCTTCGAATAAGCTCTAAAAATACGATACCAGGGTAAGCTTGAAGTTACCTGAGAATTGATATCGTCTTCGTATTCCTCGCTTTCCTTCAGAAGGACCCCGTTATCGACGCATTCGTGGACTTCGATCTGGAAAAAGGTGAGGGACTGGACTTCCAGGAATTTGGAAAGTGGAAACCTCCGGAAATTTTAAGCTACCTTTCCACTTGGAACTGCAGGATCCTTGGTTTCAAATTCAAAATAGCCACACGCTGTCGCAGATGAGGGGCATTCGGACGTTCGAGAAGTTGCATTTTGCGGTCCCGCTCGACAGAAAAGCTAGAAATCTTAGTTTACATTCCATTTCAAAAAATTCTTTTGTTATATTCTAAGCTGATTTAATAAGGATTTATAGATTAACGGTCAAAAAATTTTACCTTAACGTTATAAGGCGCTAGCGGCAGCTCCTCTTTCATGGCTTGGCCGAAATTGGAAAAATACAGCAGGCAGACCCATGCCACCCAACGGCACATTACATCCCGGGTGCTGGAAAAAGCATGTATGATAAATTAAATAGCTTAAATAATATAAAAAGCATATTAAATAAAATAGCACCGCCATCAAGTTTGAGACTAGAGAGAATCACCGTGCCCTTGCAAGCCAAGAACTTCATAGAAAGTCGATAAGTCAATATTTTGCATTAATTTCTGGTACCATTAGGGGTTAGGATATGCTTAGATGTAAGGTCAGGCTTGGAAATTATCTAACTTCCAGTTTAACAAGCAAATCCTGAAGCAATAAACTTGCGAGACAATTTGTATGACTGCGGCCTGGGGCCCAATAGATCATCGAGACGAATGAAAACGGATGGACGGCATTTCTTTTGAGTCTCCTCCTCGGGGCCCTTGCAAGACCCGGGGAATGTCCGACGAACAACTGTCTCTCTTTGGTCTAGATCCCTCCCCGTCTCTCCATCTCTCGCCCCTTGTCCATCCACACATATTACACACAACGGATGACCACCGAGGGTCCCCCCAAAGACGGTGAGATTGGTGGACAAGAGTAGTACACATTCACACCCTGGATGGATGCACTTGGGGGTGGGGTCAGGTTGCTTTGGGGATTTTGATTGAGAGGAAACATAGGGTTTCTTGTAGGTATCGATTAAGCTAAAGATTTATCGACAGCTGGTGATTTCTCAAGAGTTGCTGTCCAGCCCGACATCCAATATCCGAAATTTCTGGCTGAAAAGCTCGAATTTCAATAATAGTTGTTATTTAAGTAATTTAAGTTCAATGTAGTTTTTGATACCTTTTTAGTATAGGTATCTACGAAAAGTAGTCTTTAAAAAGCAATATTATGTGAACTCCATACCGTTTTGAAGATAATTTGTAAGGCCAGGGGTGTTGAAACTCCGACAATATGAACTTTCGATATTATTAATTTTCGCATTCTGATAGCAAGATAGAACTAGCCCAAAAAACAGTTAGATGAAACCACGAAAGATCCGCACGTAATTTTCAAAATTCCGATACTTTAAAGCGTTTTCTATAAATGAAAGGCAATACAAAGCCGTCGCCAGTTTCATGGAGATCTTAAATTTTTAAGATGGTGGGTTTTTAATGAAAAGATAAATCCTTTTACGATATTTTATAAACAGTTTAAACCAAATTAGCCCAGAAATTAAAGTACGAATAAATGATCCAGACCTCCGACAACCCTGAAACAAAGGTGAGAAAGCAATTCGACGGCGGTGAATTGGTGTGGCCGGGTTGCGGCATGCCAGGGGCCGCCGCTCCGAGACGGCGGTGGTGAGTGTAACGAATAGCGGGACCTTGGAAGACGGACAGATACACACACGTAGGTCCCGCTTTTGGGGAGAGAGACTCTTTATTTGAAGATCAGTTGACGCGTTTTTTGGTCTCTGACTCGTATGCAAATCAAACAAGTGCCGCGAGATACCAGAGCTAGCATCTAGAAAAAACTGGGCTTTAGGGTGAGAGTAGGTGGGATATGCCACAAACTGCTCAATTTTGAAGCCATAAATTTTTAGGTTAACCTGCCGGTAGTTTTAGGACGTTTGAAGCCGTCGCGGTCGAGTCGTTGCCTATACACGATGGAAGGAGATCAGATACCGTGTGCGCTGATTTTTCTACTGTATTTTTTTTAAGGGCTAGAGTTTATTTTACCTCCTCCCAGCCGGAAGTTCCCGACATTTTTCGACATTTCCGCCTATTTGTCGGTATTTTGGCTACCCCATTCGATGGAAAATCAAAAATATACAAAGGGTTTTTACAGCCCAAAATAACGTCATATAAAAAAGTTATACCGAAAAACTTTTAGGAACTTCCGGCTGGGGGGGATGGGCAAGTAAAGTGTTCCCTTTTTCAAGGCACTGGCAAGGTATCACTATGAATTTTTCTTTTTTTTCTATCAGCATGCCGATTTTCAAATCGTCACGGCGATCTGGGAGCTTTGAACGTGTCTTAAGCCGCCCCCCCCCCCCCCCCCCCCCCCCCCCCCCCCCCCCCTTGCCCCCCCCCCCATTTTTGGGGGGGGGGGGCACACCGCCGCCGGGCCCTTCGATTGCACAATGGGAAAACGTTTGTTCGCTCGATTTACTAGGGATTTTGCCACACGCCTTACAAGTGAAGTACGATCAATTTAGCAAAATTAAGGTGATTCACAACTTAACCCATTAGGTGATCAATGGGCAATTGGGCGGCGCGCTGCTTGTCGTAGTACCGTGAGAGCCTTCGGTATTCCGAACGCAACCGCGGGACGGTTCTCCTCCTCCTCCCCGCCAGACAAGTATTATAATACTGTGATGGCCGGAGCAGCATGTGAGCCCTAGCTGCTTCCAACTCCCCAGAACTGGACCTCAAGACCAGGCATGTGAAGTGTCGAAAAAGGGCCCTGTGTCATGGGCCTTTGTTGTCCGCCCTGCCCAGACCATATGTTCCTCGCCGACCCTGAAGCTGAAAGCCACCCGCTGGCCGGTGTGGCCACTCGCAGCCACACCACTATACGACCAGCCGGGTGGCTTCTGCTCTGCTACAACTCACGTAGCAATACAACATTAGTTTGAACGTACAAATTTCGTTTAGTGTTTCCAAAATAGGTCGTTTCGGCTGGTACGAAAGTTGGATGGTTCGGTTCTTGGAATTCTTGTAAAATCCTAGGACGCACCATGAAGCTTTTGAAGCTTTAAAGCGGCTCTACCTCGTCAGATACCCATGATAACGTTAAATTTCATGAGGTCAAGATTACAAATTATTTTAATAATTATGAAAAATACCAAACAAAATGTATTATTAGAAAAATCTGTTTTGCTAAAGGCTTCTACCTGCTTTTCAAAATTCCAAGCGCTGCAATCTTTACAAATCATTTGACATGGAAAAGTCCAAAATCCCTCTCCCCATTTCCGGTGTTCCCTTGTACCCAATGCTATTTTTCTCAACTATCACCAGTTTTTGTGTCTTAATTCTATTTGTTGTCTAATGTGTCATTTCGAAACCCTGACTCATTTTTGGTCGATTGCCAATCGAATTCTCCCCCCCATTTCGACTTCCCAAAAAAGCTCCCCACCGAAACCCTCCAAATTCCACGCATGTTTACGGGGCGCTCGCGCGCTCCGCCGCCGATCACCGCCCTTTTTGCACTTAATTTGACGATGCTCTCGATCACCTGCTGCCTCGAGACCCCCTTATCAACAAATTGTGTGGCCCGTTTACAGGAACATTTCGGAAATGGCGATTCGGATACTCGGTGCGCTGGTCGTATTTGTGTCTACCGCACTGGCATTGAACATTGATGGAAAGGCAAGCTTTTTAAAGGATTTAGTCACTTTCTAATCTTCATTTTACCTCTAATGTTGTAGGTGACCTGCCCGCCTGGCTTCAAAGTACACAAAACCGACGTCACGCTACATAAAGTGTCGAGCCCAAAAGGTATGGTCAGATTTTGAACGCTTTCTGATGTTTCTTTTTGTATTGTAGTTAAGCTGAGTTCCAGATATCCTCTACCAACACTCCACCTCCAACAACAACGAATTTTGCATCAGCACTCAGCCGATCGACGTCAAGCGCGGCGAGCGATTGGTTTTGAATATTGACTACACGTGTCGACATCTTCTAAAGGTTTGTGACAATTTTATTAAATTTTACGTTGAAGGATAGGAAAAGGAGAATGTAGCAAGATACCTTATAGGCGACGGAGTATGGTTTTGCTAGAAATTTCATTAATTTCTTAAAAAAAGGAGTTTCCAAAAGCTTTCTTAACCTTTCTAAGGGCGATTAAAATCTGTATTAACAACTACAAGATCTGTTTTCATTCGTTTTTAGGTGTGCTCATACGCCGATTCGGCCAAAGTCCCGATCCTGCTAAAATCAGAGCCGTTCACGCCCCGCTTCGCGGCCAGCGACGACAAGAAGATCCGATGCGGTCGCATGCGGTTCGATCCTGATGAAATCGAAAACAAACACTTTATCTTTGTGCACCCGTAATTTTATCAAACCTTTTTCTTTCCAAGATTTGCCTAAAAAGTATTTATATTTTTGGTCTTGAGTATCGATCGGAAGTAATCCTCAAAGCTAACCATTAACCGACTATTTATAATATTTTACGCCATTATTATCTTACTTGCCATATTGTTATTTTGCCACCATTTCCATTGTGATAGTCTCCTTGCCAGATTCGGCGCCGCAACCCCGTGAGTTCTTTCAGTCTTGCCTTTTTTTTGCTCAATTGATTCTATCTTTTTTTACTTTCGCGACACCTTCTCTGTAAATAAATTCGATCCATGTCGCGCCAATCACTACAGAGCCTTTTAAATCGTAAAAGGTAGCTTAGGCTGAAACCTAACATTTTATGATATAATCTAACTATATTCTATTCCACCGACCATCTACCGACTTAATTTTTCTTGATAGACGATGATCCATTGTTTGCAAGCAGCGGAATGCTGGGAATCGCGTTTTTTTGCAACGCGAGGACTCGGCTAGCAGGGCCCAATCTCGTCGCAAAAACGGGCAGCATCAAGGCTCACTTTGTTGACTCTGCACCCAGTCCGCCTTGCAACATCTATCCGGATCATTAACACGCAAAAAAGGGCAAATAGGTTTCGGCGAGCAAAGATTGGAACCTAACGGACTAATGCAAACAATTTGGGGTACAAGCCGTGTTCTGCAACCTCTAACAAAATTGGGCCAAGCTGGGTCTGTTCCAAGGTTTTGGGCGCCATTTAATAAAGGCAAAAAAGTGGGCAAATGGGCACCAAAAATGAAAAAACGAAAAGCGACAAGACAACTTCGGAAAAATCGTCCTGAAAGCCCCGCATGTCACTGGAAAAGTGGATATTTTTCAATGCTTAGAAGCTTTTCTTATTCCAATTGCGGAATCGTATCTTTCAGGATTGATTAGAGCAATAGCGCAAGCGGTTACCTGCGTGTGTTACTTGGATTGCTGGAACTTTGCCAGAATTTGCACTCCAAAAAGGCCCTTCCTGCCTAAAACGTAGCCTGAGGGCACGCGATATCACACCTGCGCGCCTGGTATCCTTTCATTAGTTGCTTGTTTGCTGATAAGGGCTCTTTCACGCAACATCTACCGAATCTGGCAAAATTCAAAAATTGTTACGTGGATTTCTGACTGTGCTATCCCTTTAAGTGGATTTTCCCCCCCCCCCCCTCCCCTTCTCCGGGGGGGGGGGGGGTTTTTTTTTTTTGTGTAATTATTTTTTTTTTTTTTTTTTTTTTTTTTTTTTTTTTTGGGGGGGGTTTTGCGTGTGGTATTAAATTTCTTTAAAGGAACCTGTACTTTAACGGAATTCCCACGCTTACGGTTGTTTTTCGGTAGGCCCCCAAGCCATTTCGTCAACGCCACAGCGTGCAGCCGCAGACGGCCACTGATGATGCTGATGGTCAGGCTTGCGCCCGGCCACTTCACGGACGTGTGGCCAAGTGATGGGCCCCCAGATCTCACTATCCTCATTCTCTGCGCCCCCCCCTATTTGCGGAACAGTTTTCGAGGCGCTGTGCGCGGCTGTGGCGCCGCGGCTTGAGCAGGGCGCGCGGAAACAATGCGGAAGACGGAAAGACCCTCGAGGGCGGATGGGCCAAGGGGAGACACATTCCCCTAAGGGGCTCTGCTGAACTGCCCCCGCCCGGATATCCCCGTTGGCACAATGGACACACCGCAATGCACATCAACAACTAGACCCTGAAAAACAACGGGCGGAGATCAAACCCCGGGCGACGAGTAGATGGTTCTTTTTTCGGTGATGGTTTTTGAAGTACTTTTCAAATCATCGAACACGGGATTTTGGTTGAAATTCCGCTTAGAAGAAGGCTTGCTTGTCTGGTAGGAAATCTCCCTTACCGAAAATGCAAGAAAAAATCGTACATAAACGGTTTTGAGATCGATCGAATGTTTTTGAAAAGACGAAAAGGAGAGAATACAGCGTAATTCGCGTTTTTGGATAGTCCAACATCCAAAAGGCACCCAAAAGTCTCCCCACCTTAAAGCAATATTAAAAAGAAAACTCTTGCCACGAAAACAACTTATCTATTATACTGATACAGTTCTACCACTTATACTAATAAAAAACAGGTTTTTATACCAAATTTTAACCCAAAAAGTCGCTGCGAGATTTCCTTAAACCGATACCCGATGTATGTTCATCACACCATTACCTTTCTCTTCGCAACATTTGGTCATATTTGCATTCCGGATGCACCATTTACCCCACGCACACACTCACAAATCATACCCTCCGCCAAAAACCTGTCAAATCATCCAGTTGATGGTGCTGATGTCTTACAAGTGTCCCCCTCCCGTGCAACAAGTGCACCCTGACCTTACACACAAAAAACTGCAGCAGGGGGTGTCAATATGCCTTCCCCACCTTGGTTGTTCCATTGCTGTTTGGCTGACAATGGCAAGCGGACAGACAGATGCACAGGCAGACATACAGTAGCGGGGAAGCGGCTTCAACACGGCAGCACAATTCCGCTTCGCCGTCTTTACACGCTAAGCCATTCAGGGTCCGAGGCCGGGTGGCGACTGTTTGAAAATGTGATAATGGGGTGGCGTGGCCACGCACGCGTCACCGTCTCCGCGCCCGCCGCCGGCCGCGGCGATGATGATGATGATGAGGATGGTGATGCGCCACTTGTGAAATTTTGAGTGACCTCTCGAGATGGGTGGATTGTCCGCGGCAGGGGATATGGCCTGGGAATCTGAAAAACGGGTGGGAGTGGCGGTTTTTGGACATGGAAAAGCGGAGAGCGGACAAATGCTAATTTTCGGTATTTTTCCTAGAATTTCGGAAAAAAACTGACGGTTTCAAACGAACTGGAAGGGACAAAATATAGCTTAAAAATTTTATTGATTAAATTTTTTTACATAAAAATAAGATTGGATCATTTTCCTTGATGAATTAATCGAAACGGATTTTCTTCTCGTAAATCCATAATAAAAACCCACAGGATTTTTTCCCTGTTTGGCTTTCCGTTTCCACCAAATGTGGACTCGTACTTTCAAGTTTTATGTCTGTGCCCAAATATATCGTTCAATGTGTACAAATCGCCCCCAAAAGACCGGTCCCCAAATGTGCGTGATGTTTTCCCGACAACCCATCCGGTCCATCTACCTCACCACGCTTACCAGTAACCCGCCACCAGGGCAGCTGTCAATTTGTCGAAGCTTCGGACGGGGAAAGCCAAGTTGGCACACACGCTTCTCGACGTATTGTTGACCCCGTAATTTGTGTCGACTCATGTCTCCCACACGCATCAGTAGTGTGCCCCAAGCCGGTCCCCCAGATCCCCACGGCGCGGTGAGTCACAGAACCAGAAGTCCCCCGCGCGCTTCATGCCAGACGCCCGAAAGAATGCGCGGCCCAGGGCGCGGGGGTCCTGGGCCGGCGCGCTGCGGCGCGTTTGAGGGTCATTTCGCACGTTGTGAAGCCGGGGGGCTTTTCTTTTCGTGCGGCTTTGGGCACACGGGGGGGGGAGGTTTTGGGACCAATGAGAGCAGAATTTGGCGTCAGTTTGGCTACTGGCTGAAGGACTAGATCATCGAGTCAATCGAGGATTATAAGCGAGAAAGTTTAACTGTTTTTTTTGTAATGAAGTCTCCGCCGTTAGGATGAATTTCCTGTCCAAAAAAAATTAAAATAGGCGATTGCCCGAAAGGATTTGAGTTCGGATATCGCCATCAAGTATCTATTTAAGACGGAGAAGGGAGGGATGCTGTTCTGCACGTACGCGAAGGGTCGTGTTACGGCGGGGAATAGACAAAAGCAACGCCGGAACCTTTATAGACGTATTTTTTACGTAACTTTCCAGCTGGGCTTGGAAATGATAAAGCCCCTAATTCACTAAGAAAGAGCTTCTGGCCCAGCTTCCTGGTCGACCCCATCCGTATTGCCTAACATTGGATGCCCCCGGGGAAAAAAGTGGGCCCTTCCCCCGTCACAAATCGTCGTGGAGATTTTTGTTGCGCAGACGAGCCAAGGGCGAACGGACCGACGAGGAGGGACGAGCAGCCCTCATGTACTCCCCGGATCGCCGCATTTGGGAGGGGGAGAATAGCAAACACACAGCACACACAGCATCATGGCCAGCGGCGGTCCGCAACCAAATTCCGTGGCTGCTAAATGGTGCCCCCGGGGATGGGGAAGGGGCAATTCAAACATGGGGCGATCGGGGTGCAGGTACAGGTGATCAGCGACTGGAGGGTCTGCCGGGCACTCATATCATGTAAAACAAGACGCTTGGCAGCCTGGATGGGGTGAAGTGGCGAGGGAGATGATAGCCCTGTAGGCAGAGTGCAAGTACACAACACGTGGCTATACCATGTTGGGCTGGATTGGTGAGGTTTGGTGTTGTTTGGTGCTGCGTGCGGGCGAGTTGCGTGTCTGCTTGGATTTCCTGGTTTTATCTGTTATCTGTAACTGCTTCTCACACACGTACTCTGTCTCTCTCGCTCTCTTTCTCACTAGTCTCTCACTCACCGCAACTCCTCCAGACCCGCTGAAAACTGCAAACACACTACCTCATGACTTACGGACTCAAATAACTGTTCAAAGGTAAAATATGCAAAAACAGACTAGCTTCACCATCTCCCAACGCCCGTAAAACTTAAAACCCCAGCCCCTCTGCCCCCATGCATCCCGCGCGCTGGCCCAAAACGCGTGCGCCTCATTAGCATCTCCAGCCTGACCCGGCGCCCCCACTCATAATCATAATCCCCGGGCCACGCGGGGGCTATCAATGGGTGAGTGGCCAAATGTGAGCGCGGGGTGTGCGCTTGATCTGGGGGCAGCCGTAAGCGCGTTTGCTCACGGGCCCGGGGACGTCATCTTGCACCCCGGCGCCTCCGTATGTGGCCGTTTTGAAACTCTCAGGGTGGCAGATAATGGCGGGGGTAGACAGTGGTGGAGAGGCGAGAGAGAAAGAGAGAGAGAGAGAGAGAGAGAGAGAGAGAGAGCAAACTGTCGCCATTGTTGCGAAGGGTACACCTTGCCGAGTCATCATCAGCAAAAGAAAGAATGAGGTTTGAAGAGATTCCGAAGCAAAGTAAACGATTCTTTCCAGGGCCTTTCCAGGATTGTAAGCACAAACCATAGCTAAAAAAGCTGCCCCAAAATAATCGAAACCCCTCTAGATTGAGACGTCGAGAAAACGAGAGCTCCCAAGATCCACGTCGAAGCCAGAGACCCAGAGAAGCAGAACAAAGTTCCCGCGCGATCACAGATAATGAGGAGTGTGCATACAATCGCAGAGAAACGCGACAAAAGGGTGCGAGAGAGCAAAAGACCCCGGGCTGGGGGGCCGGGCCGCTTCCGGATGAGTCAGGCGGGGCGGACGCGCGCGGGCCTCCCAACGGAAGGCCCCCTTTATAAGCCGGAGGGTCGTCGGACGACGGCAGTGCACAGCGGCACCAACCGTATCCACCCCACCTCGACAGCTAACATGCTTCTCAAGGCCTTTTTCCTCGGCTCCCTGCTGGTGATTGCGGCTTACGCCGAAGAGGAGGTGCGTTTATTTCATTTTTTTTGGCTTACTTGCCTAGTAAAAAGTTTTTGATATTCACCATTTTACTTCTCTATCAGGTTTCTTCATCGTTTTTCATTCAAAAATTTAAAAATTACGAGCATTTTAAGTCTTCTTAGGCGGCCTTCGATTCTGTTTTGAAGAAACCTGAAAAGCTTGAGGTCGAGCTCACTTCTAAACGATTCTATTGAATGTAATGACATTTTAAACGTTTATGACTTGCTGATTTCCTATCGCGCTTGAATTTAAAATGCCCAAAATCAGCAAAATTACCACATTTTGAAGCTGCGCTCTTTATCATTCTCCCTCATTACACATTTTCTACCTAGGAAAAACCCTGAAAAACGAGCGCTAGCTACACTACTCCTTACTTCTCCGCCCAACAACCAAAACTCCCCCACCTCAAAACGGTCCAGTTGATACAGGAAATAGCCAGGGGCAACGAGCGCTGCGCTCGAAAAACACTTGGGGGCCCTCCCCGGCTGTTTTTTTGTTTGTTGTCGATGCCCAGGGAGCGTGTGCGCGCACACAAAAGGCCCCTCCTCAAAATGTCGACTGTTTTTCCGTGTTTTCGCCCCCGGTCTACAATCTTCTTTTTCCAGGCGACCACCGCCGCCCCGAAGGAGGAGGTCACCTCGCCGGCCGTCGTCCGTGCCAAGAGGCAGTGTGGCTGCTCCGGGTGCTCGTCGTGCGGTCAGCAGCAGACTCAGGTAGAGGATTGTGTTTTTCGCACAGAATCTTTGGTCCAAAGGAACACCGCGTAGCCAAACGCGTTGATACTCTGAACATAACGTTTTTATGATCTCACTTCATTTCCCAATTTTTTCAGTGCGTCCCCGTTTGCGTGCAGCAATGCCAGTCCGCCTGCCAGACCTCTCAGTGCTCCAACCAGTGCCAGAGCAGCTGCCAGCAGCAGTGCGGAGTATGAAAATACCTCTCGGACCCTCACATACGACATTTCCAGGTTGCCATCGCCATCCCGGTCCAGCAGCAGTGCAACCAGTGCCAGAACCAGTGCCAGTCGTCGTGCGGCTCCAACATGATCTGCTTCCAGACTTGCCAGCAGAACTCGTGCCCCCAGTGCTGCCCCCAGCAACAGTGCTGCCCCCAGAATAACTGCCAGCAGCCCCCGCAGGTATGAATAGTTTGTTGGCGAGAGCGTCTATGGGGTAGCATTACCACCTGAGGTTCCTGAGCCATAGGCTAGGACTAGGCTTGCTGAGGCCTTGAGTAACCTTCCCTTCTTAGGTCATCGTCCTCCAGCAGCAGCAGCAGAACCAGTGCCAGTCGCCATGCTGCAACTCGTGCCAGTCCGCCTGCCAGAGCCAGTGCTCCACCCCCATCTGCGTCCAGGGATGCCAGTCCTCGTGCAACTCGGTGGGTACCTTAAACCAACTCTAACTAGCTTCTTGAACTCCTCGAAAACCCTGGCCTTTTCAGCAGTGCAGCAACTCCCAGCAGCCAATCGTCATCGTCGTCCCCAACAACGACCAATGGTAAAGTTTAGACTCTTGATTGTGATAACAATTCGACCTCTAGCTCCTCGTCCTGCTCCAACTCGTGCCAGCAGCAGTGCCCCACCCCCGTCTGCGTCCAGACCTGCCAGAACCAGTGCCAGTCTGCCTGCGGATGCCAGAGCAACAACTGCAACCAGCAGCAGCAGCCCATCATCGTCCTCCAGCAGCAGCAGAACCAGTGCCAGAACACCTGCCAGAGCCAGTGCATGAACTCCTGCACCACCACCCAGACTGTCGTAAGTTGATGGGACTTGAGCTCGAAGAGTTATGATCTTTTCTTGTAAACCTCGGGGTTTTCAGCTGCAGTGCCAGCCGGTGTGCGCCCAGACTTGCCAGCAGACCTGCCAGCAAGCCCAGCAGATCGTCATCCCGTGCCAGAGCTCCGGCTCGTCGTGCTCGTGCAACTCTGGCTACTCCCAGTGCGGAGGCTCGTGCTGCCGTATCTAAGGTTGGTAGCTTTTTGGTGATTTCTCTGGCTTAGGCTTAGACACGAATCATCAGACTCAAGCTCATACCATTTCAAACATGCCCCATTTCAGCGTCACCCCGACTAGCCACCCACTTCGCCATCCCCAAAACCCATTCGCCAATCCGAAACAAAACCTCGAGCGTGGGAGTATTATGCGGCCCCTTACCGAGGCCCATCCCGTCGTGTGTCTGTATATTTATAGCGCCCACCATGTCGTCCATAGGACCCTACCTGGTCTGCCCGGCTATAATAATAAATTATCTATACCAAAGACATTTCTACTGCACATGCAAAAGGATCCTAAGGACGATCCACACCTCGTTACAGAGAACGCATTGCAATTCCAACATCTAGCCCATCAACTAGCCAACACCCATATCAAGAACGGCAAAACCGCAAACGCATAGCTTCTCGCATTCCCCGCTCGCGACAATCGCAGGGCACGCCTAAAAAAACCCGCTAAAAACCGCCCCGGAACCGGGAAATTTTTCGGGGAAATTGGCCGACGCCCAAATGCGCATCTGGCGCGCTATTCCGGGGGCAGTGGTCAACATTTTTTGGCTTCCCATGGTTTAACGGGACCTCTTATGTATTTTATAAACTCTTTTCTTTTTCTTTTTACTGATTGCAAAAACTTAGGCAATAAATTTTAGTTATACATTTTTTTAAATGTCGCTTGCTGAATGGCATGGTTTATTTTCCAATGGCAAATTGCCAGCCTTTTCCTGCATATTTAGCACCATTGATTAAATGTATTACGTTGCTTTGAAAAAGGAGGTTTCATACATTTTATTATGGCGTTATAGCAGTGTCTTTTAGTAACACCGGCTTTTTACCGGCAAAACCAATCTCGGAATTCCAGCCAAAATTTGGTGATATTTTAAACGATTAAATGCCAAATTGAAGGTTTTTCGACCTTACGATTAGCTATACCTTTCTCTTAATTGTTTTATTTTCCCCGGCTCTCCCCAAAACCATAACGACCTCCACCGCAGAGTGCGCGTTTGACCACTATGCCTCAATAGCCCCGCGGCGTTGATTTGTGTGATTAGCGAGGGACCGGAATCAGTTCTCCGCCTCCATCCAGGGCACGGGCTCGCATCTCAAAAAGGTGCATCCGATACCGGACTGGCCGGAGAGAGAGGGGCGATCCCTTGAGTCGATCCGTCGAGTGTTCGCATCGCCCCCACGTTGGCTGCCGTTAGTTGATGATGGTGGTGTGGCATCAAGCGATTTCCGTATATCAGGACACTCTAAGCATGTGACGCGGGGGACGTCATCGCGGAAAATGAGACAATGGGGGCTGAGAAGCGCTTGGTGATAATTGAGTGGATCAGGGACCAATAAAAAATATCCATAATTTGAAGAACCGAAAAACAGGAATTAGCGCTTCTTGAACGTGTTTAAAGCATACGGAAATCCGCAATGTACAAAACACAGTAAATTGCAACCTTGCAAGGTTTTAAGACGCCAAAAAAAAGAATTTGCGGCATGAATTCCTAACCCGAACGGCGTGATTCGCGTGGCTCTAACATGTCGAGTTTTCGACTAATCAAGCCAACACAATCGCTTGTAATTACCGGCTCTTGGCAAAATTTTCAGACATAAGAAAAGTAGTACGGTATGTTAAAGGCTGCAAGATCATCAAATAGCTAAACTAATCGATTACGACATAAAATCTCCGATTCTCCGATTCTGATGGGTTTTGACAAGTGGCAATGAAGCACTGGCAATTTTAGAATTCCATAAACACCTAAGGTATGGCAAAGCCCTTCCTAAGTGTTACCCAACAAACCCATCAGGACATGAAATATTATCAAAATTACAAATGTTTGGTCCCCTGCGTGTCGATCAACACTACCCCACCATCCTGCCATCAAACAATAACGTATCAGAAACCCTTCCTGGCCGTTTTTTGCACTTTTCCCCGGCCGTCAATTGGAAAGTGCCGTAAGCGCCTTTCGATCCGGGGCAGTCGGCTGCCGTTCGCAGATCCAATCTGCCCTCATAGCTCTTCGATGGCACCTTTCACTTCGATGCTTGAGCAAATTCCCGAGATGCGCGCGAGATTAACGAGGCACCAGCCGGTAGCGAGCCTTGGGGAAGTTGTTGCTCGGTTTCGGCGTCTTGCTCACTTTTTCTTCAAGAATACTTCGAATTCTAAGTTCTTTTTTAAAGTCTAAGTTCAATTAAAGTCATGCACGTTCTAAAGTTATTTTTATTCTAACCTTCCTTACCGGTTTTTCAGGCCCCGGAGTTTTGTGTTGAGTTCGTTTTTTCTAGGATGCGGTTAGCCGGTCTTCTCTTGCTTCTTCCAAATGTTCTTGCTGTCTACTTCCCATTCGAGTAAGTTAAACTGTATTAATCTCCTACGATACCTTTTCGGCAACGCTACGCAACTGTCAACGGCGAGACTCAACCCATACAGTATGTGAGTATCCGATTTGCATAATTTTGATAGCTGCCTTATAAAAATGACTTCCCATTTGTTTTACGAAGTAATTCCAAGCTCAGGTCCACATCTCCGAACTGCTAGGCAGAAGGGCAATGTCCTCAAAGCTACATCAAATGCCTGATGAAGCGCATTTTACCCCGCAGAGCTTGCCGGTCAACTTTGAAGACAACTATGAGCAGGAGATTAAGGTAAGGATCGATAATTTATGGAAATTAAAAACTCTAGAGGCGTCTGCACAAGAAAAGAAAATCACACAAGAAGCATCGCCGTCATCATCACCACCGTCCTCACCATCGACAGCGAGAAGGACTTGGCGAAGCCCCCGATAATAAGCAGCATATTGTGGAGAATGGGCCGTTGTCGCAGATTATTACTGAGGTTTGGTTAATGGAACAATTTTTGATCTGTATTTCACTCTCTCACTCTATCTCTCTCTCTCTCTCTAACTCTCGTTAATCCAGTCAGTACCATCCGAGCTATAGTTTAATTCTAGGAAAACGGCCAAACCGTTCTCACCCATCGATTTGACTATGAAAAAGCCAAGAAGAAGGACGATGGCATTGATGATATGAAGGTAACTCAAGCGGCAAACTAGGAATTCTAGCAGAAAAATCCTTGGGGAACAAATCTGTTTAGGTGGAGCGTGTGGAACGGCTAAACCTACCCGACTACGTGCAAGAAACGAAAATCATGCACAAGAAGAACATCTCCCCGTCGACGCTGGCGATTCTGCAAAAGTTGAGGTGTGTGTTTCGAGTTTTTTCAGCTGGCTTTTGCTATATTGCCCAGATTTGTATACATTTAGGCTGTAAAATGGATACATTAAAGAGATGAGGACGGCTTGGGGAGGGGGGGTTCAACAGATGCAACGGCGAGAGAGAGCGCCCAGGGGAGAGGCGCAGAGACATTTGCTTTCCCGCGCGTAATCGATTGACTTATGCCGCCCCTATCCCTTTAAGCACACTAGTTAATAACCGTGATATTTGAAAAGTAGCTGAAAGCTAAAAACCATTTTTCAGAGCTTCCGGAGCGCTCCTAAGCCCAGCAGCCGGATGGCCTCCGCGTCAGATGCCGTTCGATCGTCGTGGTGCTCCACCAGTCTTTGGAGCCCCGATCCGAAGCGCCATCCCGATTGGCACATCGCAGGGCAGCCAGCTCGCCTACATGTATCCTCAGTATTCCCGGAAATTTGTTTGATCTGCCGAATATCCGCTGCCTCTTCTACTACGTGTAATATCGCCATGGTGCATTAATAAAGTTTTTGCTGATATAGATTTTCAAGCGGAATATAGGCAGGGTTAAAGGTACCGTGCGCCCTCGGTTTGAAAGGTCTACTTTAAGATCTTAGAAAAATTGTGTTTTAGAATGCCGGATTACGGTATGTGCTAAAATTCGGGCAAAACCGAACCCGAGACGCTCGCCTGGGGCAAGCGCTTCAGACCACTTGGCCATGGGAGGGGGGTGCGGAGGGGGGCGAAGGGAAATGACGGTCGGAGGTCTATAGCTGAGTATCTTTACGCGGTTGTAACAGGCGAATAACAAGATATTGAATTCATTCATAACAGTAGCGAATGCTCGTGGGGTATCAGGAGGAGGTTTAGATGGGCAATTTTATGGTTTAGAGACAGCGTAATTCGTTGAAAGCAAATTATCGAGCGCAGATTGGGCATCTTCTGCCAAAAAATCAATGGGTTACCTTTCTTTGTAAAAGTAATTTAACAGGATATTTGCTTTATAAACTACTGCTGAAGTAGCATAATCGAGATTTCGACATCTCGCAACGCTACCCACACACACTTTCCCCCGCGAATCCCGTTCGCCTACGCAAAAACCGACAAAAAGCAAGCGACATAGTGGTACGCTCAGGGTGCTCCCCTCGAGATCCACTGTAAAGAAGTGGTCCTTCAGGCGCCACTATGTCGCTCCCGCGCTTTTTATGGCAGAAATCAGCTCGGTGGTTTGCACGGCGCGGGATTTCGGTTTCGGCGCCCCCGGGATCAGCCACTGCCACTCTTAAGCAAACACTAGCTGATCATCAGCGATGATTTCCAGCTTTCCTAACCATTAACGTATCGCATTGATTTTTCGCGACTTGAAAACTTTTTTACTTTATTTTCAGGACCTTATTTTAGTGATTAAATTACGACACTTTAAAAAAAGTTTTCGCCCTAGAAAACTCTCAATTTTGTATAGTTTAATTTTGTATAATTTAGTATCGCCTCATTATAACGCAAAAATTATTTTATTGTCGTTAGAACAGGCAAAATATAGTTAGCTATAGCTGCCGTGTGCATACGATGTTCCTTCATCCGTGTTTCGGTTCGGCTTCTTCACCCCCGGTTCCTTATGTGGCTGGCTAACTAGCTAGGACTATAAAACCTTTGGATCGAATCCACCTTGCCACCTGGCTTTCCTCAATACACCCATTTACCTCTCAAGGTTTTTAGAAAACGGATGTTGCTACTGCTCGGCGTTTTATATATTAGGTAGGTGCACTTGAAGATCTTACGATGCATCGCGAAAAACTACCACTGAGAACTTGCTTATTGACAAAAGCATACTCAAACATTTTTATAGCCCTGAGACTCCTTATTAGGGCGTTATTTACCTTGAAGTCAGCGGGTTAAGCTTTTTAATCGGGACATTTCCTAAATAAATGCGATAAAACTCATAAATATTGATTCTAGGGCGGGAATTAATCTTTCTTTTTCCACCGTTTAACTCCTCTGTTTTAGCTACCTATCAGAAGCTGCCTCTACCCTACGTGACGGCGGAGATGACGGGGACCTAATCGCCGTCCAACCCTCATTTATGGAATTCGAAGACCCGGTAGAAGCCTTTTCCCATCCAAACGCAGCACCCGTTTTCAGATAGCCCGTCGATTAGGGTTGCTGATGCAGCAAGAAACCAGCACATCAGCCGCTAAAACCACTTCTCAAGCGACGATTTCGCTGGCCCCAAGACCGAGTCCCACTCCTAGGCGCAAAAAGATACGCCACGCCATCGCCTTCCGCACCTATTGGCAACCAAAAATGTCCCAGCCAAGGCCCACGACACCTGAGCCAATGCCGGAATATCCGCTTCCGGTGAAAGATATGGTTCGTTATCAGAGGGATAGTTCAGCCCTTGTGCTTGGGCAGTACCTTGGGTGACTATTGACGCAGGGGCGACGTGGGCCAGCAGGCCCCCTGCGTCGATAGTCACCCAACGTGTTGCGCAAGTAGTCCAAGGCTGAACTATCTCTTTGAGTAAATCTTAATTGGGGTCTGAGCGTACCAAATTGGCCCTGTTTATAGTTGGTCCCTCGAGCCTCGACGTCTACCTCCAGACCTTCATCAACTGCAGAGAAACCGATTTTGGTCGTTGAAAATTGGCAACAGCCTGAAACGACACCAGCTGTTTCGTAAGTCCAAATTAAATTCTTTAAAACGATCAATTTTAGATCACCGACGGCCACTACGGATATTCCAATCCGGATGACCACTCGGCAATTTGCTAGAATTCGGGTAAGTACCAGCTCACAACAGCTGCCACACTTCTACTTCCATGGTATTCGATCGAAAATTTGTTCCATTCAGACCCTCGTCCCCATCGTGCAAACCTACGAAGATGGCCAGCGATTTGATGTGAAAATGCTGCCCTCCTCACTGGGTCAATTTGTCCCATTGGCGCCTCTCGGTGAGCGCTACCGTATTTTACTGCCTTAATTGATTGATTAACAATTTATCCAATGAAATACACCTTTAGTTGGCGACGAGAACAGCCGAAAAAATGCGGTCCCCGTGCTGAAGACGGTAGGAAAGCTTGGAGCTCAAAACAAGATATTTCTAGGTTCTACGGCCGCAACTCATACGAGGACGTCTTGGACTTGCCGATCGCGTCGAATACGTGCCGTATCGGTACGTTGCCCTGGCGTCAAGGGCCAGAGCAGAAAAGTGGGTTCATGCCTGAAAAGTGGAAATTTTTGGATCAATCAAAACCGTTATATGTTGATTATAGTGCCCGCTCGCCGCTACAATATCGACTACCATAATCAGCAGCTACAAATATTTATGATCTCGTGCTTAATAAATTATTTTTAGTGAAATTGTGCGTAATACATTTACCCCAAGACATAACGTAATCCTACTATATATAAAAAAGTAGTGTCTGTGTGTGTGTGTGTCCACTTCATACTCTCAGGTGTCAGGCATAGCTCAAGAAGGAGAAATTAGGGGGTGTTTGAAACGTATTAGGAGCGTGATGGTTTGGCGATGACTGCACGCATATCAGAACTATCAAATCCTATCCTATAAGCGAGAAAAGTATGTGTGTTTTCGGTGCAGCCAGTTTCTCGGCCGTCAGTCCGAATTTCGCACTGATTTTGGCACGGAGGTGGAGAAACACATTTGCCAGACAGCATTTTGTTTTCGAAATTCCTTCATTTAACAATTTTACAAGCAAAATGGTGAAAATCCTTAACAAAATGGGCTACGAGCCGTGGTGTTCGGGCCATAACTCAAAGGCCTGATGGAATTTCGGCCTGAAATTTGGATTACTTATGTATTCGATAGTGGGGATCACGCGCATCTTATTATTTTTACAAATTTTCGACGCATTCAAAATAAAAAAACGATTTTGCTAAAGTACTAGAAGTGCTCCCGCCCAGGTCGAAACCCGCCCCCAGGATCGAAGAGGCCTTCCGCCTCCCTTCCCCATGCCTCCTTTGGTATAGTGGCTTGACGCCCGGTCTACCACGCACATGGTCCAGGGTTCGGATCCTCGGCAAATATACCTTTTTGCTTTTTGATAGTTCAACAACAAAACATATTTCGAGGCTCTCGGTATCCGGAATTTAGGCCAGTCCCTCGCTCTAGCGCTGCAGGCCAAAAATAGGTCCTTGGCCCGGGTTCTAGCGCCGCAAGCCAAAGAAAAGGGGCTTGGCCTGGGCTCACGCGCCGCAGCCTAAATTCTGGAGAAAAACCAGTAGCTAGCGCCGCAGGCCAGAGAACGGTTTCTAGAGTCAGGTTCTTGCGCCGCAGGCTTGAAAAACGGAAGGGGAATATATGGTTCCTAGACGGGGGCCAGTGGAAAAGGGCCGCAAAGCGGTCATTTTCCACTGGTTCTCTTATTTTCGACATTAAATTTAAACTTTTGTTCAAAAATCCGAGACTCTCTTTGTTAGGAATCAATTAGCATACACCGGAAGCGGGGGTAGCCTATATAAAGGAACGGAGAGAGCATTTTTCACCTTTTTTCAGCGTGAATCGGGCCGATTTATGCAAAGTGCAAAACTTTCATTGGGTTGGACTGGGGCCAGGGTTGAAAAGTCGCGAAGCGGCTTTTCAACCCTGGTTTCTCTATAAATTTCGAGCGGGGGGCTTACTGTAAAATCGCGCAATCAGGAAAGACGGGTTGTCACCCTCACTTAAAATTTCAAAATGTGATATTTCTGGTCGTTTTACCCATAAATGGTTTTAAAATCTGGGGGTTTCGGGTTGTCGGGATTTTGGCCTGCCGGGATGTTGGCTATCGGGATTTTGGCTTTCGGGGTTGCGGCTGTCGGGATTTTGTCTGTTGTGATTTTGGATGTCGGGATTTTTGCTGGCGGGATTTTGTCTGTCGGGATTTTGGCTCATGGGATTTTGTCTGTCGGGATTTTGAAATTCGGGATTTTTGCTGCCGGGATCTTCGCTGACGGGATTTTTGCTGTCAAGATTTTCGCCGTGGTCGAGGTTTTTACTGTCGGAATTTTGGCTGTCGGGATTATGGCTGTCGGGATTGTGAATGTCGGGATTTTGGATTTTCCCATCTAACCTCAACCCTAGACCTTGAACTTCTGCACAACCCTCCATAGCCTCACTTTCCCATTACCCAATATCTAATTGTCCCTCTCTCGCCCCTCTCCCACAAGAAGAATGATGAGATGTGTATTTACGGGGGGAATCAATTGCCTAATTAGGCGATCCAACACGAAGAAAGACAGAGAGAAACCGATCGGCATCTCCGGCTGCCTATTGCGATCGGATGGCCTGGTAGCCCGACGGCAAGAAGGTTGGCAAAAAGTGGCCGTGGCTCAGGGGAGGGAGGAGGTTGACGGGCAGCCGGGGGGAAGCTGAGGAAAAAGCCCCATCCTGCTACGGGACAGCTCGACGTTCGCCCTCAGCTCCTGGTTGGCATACACGCGATCGGCCAGTCGTGTATTCCGGAGGGTTGGGCTGGCAGCTTACCTTTGGTATCATCACTACCTCTGATCGATAATATTTGGCGCTGAGAGGTTTTTAACAAAATATGGTAAGTCTCGACTTGCTTTCGTGATTTTTTCTGTAACTTGAGGAATTGAGGTCTTAAATTTGTTGGGGTTTTTTGAGGAACCCCTTTTCACATAGTAACTTTCAAAGTTTTCTACCAATTTTTTGCCAGTTTCTGGTCTCCAAAACTTGCTAAAAATTCCTCAATTCGTTCCAGATCTTCCTCATCCTTCTCCTTGCCTCACCAGCCCTTGGCGCTCCGCAAGCGGCGTACCAGTAAGCACAAAATTTAAGATATCTGAAATTCTTAATAGATTATTTGCACTTTCCCCCTTTCGGCTCGACTTCAACGGCCATAACTTGGAGGAGTCGCACTTCCATGGTAGCAAGGTACCTTTTAATACTAAACTTCATCCAAGGTCTTACAAAAAAAACAATTTTCAGAGAGCATCGCCACTCTCTGAAGCCGCCATCGCTTCCGCTAAGGGCCAGCAAGTCCTACTGCTATTGCCGCAAGGGGTAGATTACTTTTCTGATACCGACGAACCAGGAATTCAAGATGCCCGCTTCCGCCGCCCTGACCGACGCGCTCAAGCAAAAGTTCCCTGAGGCCGAGGAGGTCACGGTAAATCTACGAACTTACCAGAACCCATGATTTGAATGTTTTTAGGTCCACCCTCGGCTCCAGAAACTCCAGGATAAAGCTGATGAGGTTGTGGCGGCACGAGTGGAGATGCACAAGGCCGTTGATACGCCTCAAAGCAAATGGGAAACTGTTGTAAGTCTCTTCAAACTTCCAGAGATCGTTCCTTCCGATCTTGCTCATGCTCCTTTCAGGTTGAAGGTTCCGGTGCCGAGCAGGTAGCCGAAGTTAGCGACACCGTTGTCGAGGTCACCGGCGTCAAGGGGATTCATGACGTCGAGGAAGAGGTGCTTAGTGCGGAAACAAAAGAGTCAACTGCCACCGAGACCAAGGAGGCCACTACCGCTTCAAGCAAGGTATCGAAAAACCATGATACTCCAACTACAAAACAATTTTCAGGAATCCCCAACCAGCAGCGAGGAAGCCAAAGAGCTCCACAAGCAACCGAAAGAGGAGGTCCAGCTCGCCAAAAAGTCTCCAAAGCTCTCCCCGCTAGAGGAAATCCTGGTTCATAAGCTCTCTGAAGATGGTGACGTCAAGGAATCCGCCGACTTGGGCAAGGTCATTGAAGAAATCAGGGGTGATGGGGATGAGAAGCAACTGGATAGCGCGGAAGTTGAACCTAAGCCGACTACCACAATAACGACAACTACTGAGGCCCCAATGACTACTGAAAGTCTTGTGGACGAGCTGCCCAAGGCGCTCAATAGCACAATATCGGAGGCAGTAGCGGAAGAGAAAGTGGAAATGGAAGTTCCGAAGAAGATGGGCAATGAGGAGAGGGAAAAGCCGAATCCGATGCAAGGGTTGATGGGAATGGATGAGCATAGTAGCTCCTCGGAGTCGAAGACTTCCAAGATTGTTGATGGCGAGAGTGGGGAGGTAAGTCGATGTTTTACCGCCTGCCCTAAAAGGCTTCTGGAGGCTTTAATGGCAAACCCTAAAAACCCTAAAACCCCACAACATCAAAAACTAGAGTTCCGTCTTTGGCTCCTAAATTTACACTAAAAATTCGACTTAAACCCGGATTAAATGCACGATCGAAAAATTTGAGAACTAAAGCACCGATGTTATTACGAGAAGCCGTCGACCTTTTAAAACTTAAATTATTTAGATGAAAGCTGAAGCCACAGAGAAGGAAAGCGCTGAAGATAAAGTTGAACCGACAACGCTAGAACCGGTAACGACAACAACTACTGGAGCTCCAGTGGAGACCACCACCGTAGAGGTCAAGGAAAAGGAGAGGGAGAAATCCGTGTTCAAGCAGATTTGGCCAACGGAGGTCGTGATTGAGGTATCAGTTCATTAAGGGTATGACCAAAGCCAATTAAGGGTCGTGAGTTCTACCTAGTGCCAAAAGGCGCCCGAGCGCGCGACTACTTGGAGCCGTACAGGGGTGGTGGCTATATGGTGAAGCAATCGGCTGACGATTGGTTCAGAGGATTGCATAGGGTAAGAATATCGGTGGGAAAAATGTAGCTTAATTGCTTTTTTTTTGAAGTATCGGCTACTGAAAATTATAATTTTTTAACCGTTCGTCACGCTATAAATTCAGTATAGTCAAGATTTACCTAATTCCAGCAACTCAACGAGGCCTAACGCGTCACCCCGAATACGCCCACGCCAATTTTTAATAAGCTTTATACCCCTTTTATGTGTCTGTAAATAAATGCTCGAATTTATAATGACCGGGGCGGAAAGGGGGGAGGAAGAGGGTGGACGATCGACAAAAATTAGGGATTCGCGATGCTGCTGTCGTGTTGTATCGGCGGGTTGAACTCTTGGGAAACGATCGGGCGGGCATTTCTGGAATGAATGCAGTCATTCTACAATTTTTGCTGCTAGTTACGAGCCGCATTGCCGCCGAGGATTTTTTGGGTAGGGTTTTAGTGCGTTACTTAATGAATTTCATGCTGTAACATGGTAGATATTGATTTTTGCGCCTTGCGATGTTGATCTAACAATTTTAAACTCTCTGAAAAATAACTAAAACCTTATATTAATGTGAAAAATGTCATTGAAGAAACTTTAACGCTTAAAAAAGGCCATTATAGTTACTCACGCTTTAAGATTTATTTCATTATAGTTCGCACTTTTCGCATGCTTTTTGTATTAAATCATCGTAAACCTGTTTTTTCGGCTTTTTGAAGTGCTCTC